GAAAACAGTGTGGCAAACACCTAGGATTCGCTGATGTAATGTCATATTAACACACCCCTCTGAAGAGGAAAGTGACATTGACCCCAGGTCTAGGGTCTGTCTATTTGTCTCTATCTGTCTCTGTCTATCTCTTTTTATCTCCATTTCACAGGTACCCATAAATACAATTATACATAGTGTAAATTACCTAGGATAACCTAAAAAATTTGAAGTGCTATACAGTGGACCCCCGCATACCGGACGCCTTGCATAACGGACAATCCTCATACCGGACGCTTTGATCGCTAAAATTTTGCCTCGCATACCGCCCAAAAACCCGCTCAGTGCCCTTCGTCCGAGACGCGTCCAATGTGCGGCCTGAGCCAGCCTCATATGTTCCGCCGGTGGCATTGCCAGCCTCCGCGGTAACATTCAAGCATACAATCGGAATATTTCGTATTATTACAGTGTTTTCGGTGCTTTATCTGGAAAATAAGTGACCATGGGCCCCAAGAAAGCTTCTAGATCCAATCCTACAGCAATAAGGGTTAGAATTCCAATAGAGATGAAGAAAGAGATCATTGATAAGTATGAAAGTGGAGTGCGTATCACCGACCTGGTCAGGTTGTACAAGAAACCCAAATCAACCATCTCTACTATTGTGGGCAACAGAAAGGCAATCAAGGAAGCTGTTCTTGCCAAAGGTTTAACTGTGTTTTCAAAACAGAGATCGCAAGTGATGGAAGATGTTGAGAGACTCTTATTGGTGTGGATAAATGAAAAACAGCTAGCAGGAGATAGCATTTCTCAAGCGATCATAAGCGAAAAGGCTAGGAAGTTCCATGAGGATTTAATTAAAAAAAGGCCTGCAACTAGTGATGATGTGAGTGAATTTAAGGCCAGCAAAGGTTGGTTTGAGAGATTTAAGAAGCGTAGTGGCATACATAGTGTGATAAGGCATGGTGAGGCTGCCAGTTCGGACCACAAAGCGGCTGAAAAATATGTGCAGGAATTCAAGGAGTGCATAGAAACTGAAGGACTGAAACCTGAACAAGTGTTTAATTGTGATGAAACAGGCCTGTTTTGGAAGAAAATGCCAAGCAGGACCTACATTACTCAGGAGGAAAAGGCACTCCCAGGACATAAGCCTATGAAAGACAGGCTTACTTTGTTGATGTGTTCCAATGCTACTGGTGATTGCAAAGTGAAGCCTTTATTAGTGTATCACTCTGAAACTCCCAGACCGTTCAGGCAAAAGAATGTCCTCAAGGAAAATTTGTGTGTGCTGTGGAGGGCAAACAGTAAGGCATGGGTCACTAGGGACTTTTTCTATGACTGGTTACACCATGCATTTGCCCCCAATGTGAAAGATTACCTAACTGAAAAGAAATTAGAACTTAAGTGCCTCCTGGTGTTAGACAATGCCCCTGGTCATCCTACAGACGTGGCAGAGCGACTTTATGGGGACATGAAATTCATTAACATCAAGTTTTTGCCTCCTAATACCACTCCTCTCCTGCAGCCCATGGACCAGCAGGTTATTGCAAACTTCAAAAAACTGTACACAAAAGCTCTGTTTGAAAGGTGCTTTGTAGTGACCTCAGAAACTCAACTGACTCTAAGAGACTTTTGGAGAGATCACTTTAATATCCTCAATTGTATAAACCTTATAGGTAAGGCTTGGGAGGGAGTGACTAAGAAGACCTTGAACTCTGCTTGGAAGAAACTGTGGCCAGAATGTGTAGACAAAAGGGATTTTGAAGGGTTGGAGGCTAACCCTGAGAGGAGTATGCCAGTTGAGGAATCAATTGTGGCATTGGGGAAGTCCTTGGGGTTGGAGGTTAGTGGGGAGGATGTGGAAGAGTTGGTGGAGGACGACAATGAAGAACTAACCACTGATGAGCTGATAGATCAACTTCAAGAGCAAGAGGCCAGACCTGAGGAAACTGGTTCAAAGGAGGGGAGAGAGAAATTGAAGGAACTGCCTACTACAAAGATTAAGGAAATGTGTGCAAAATGGCTTGAAGTGCAAACCTTTTTTGATGAAAATCACCCTCACACAGCTATTGCAAGCCGTGTTGGCAACCTGTACACTGACAATGTTGTGAAACACTTTAGGGAAGTCATAAAGGAACGAGAGGTACAGGCCACTATGGACAGATATATTGTGCGAAAGAAGTCCAGTGACTCTGAAGCTGGTCCTAGTGGCATTAAAAGAAGAAGGGAAGTAACCCCAGAAAAGGACTCGACACCTCAAGTCTTAATGGAAGGGGATTCCCCTTCTAAACACTAACACTCACTCTCCCCTCCTCCCATCCCATCAATCATCACCAGATCTTCAATAAAAGTAAGTGTCATGTAATTGTGCATGCCTTTTTCAGTTTGTGTGTATTAAAATTAACATTTCATGTGGTAAAATTTTTTTTTTTCATACTTTTGGGTGTCTTGCACGGATTAATTTGATTTCCATTATTTCTTATGGGGAAAATTCATTCGCATACCGAACATTTCGCATAACAGCCAGCCCTCTTGCACGGATTAAGGTCGCTATGCGGGGGTCCACTGTACTGTGCTTGTAGATATAATGCATAAGAATACCTGTTGGTTCAAAGTGGCTCTCTCTGAAACAGAGAGAGAGACAAGCAGAAAAACAGAGAAGCAGACAGAGAGACGAGACAGAGAGACAGATAAGCAGAGACAGACACCAACGCCCATCAAATGTCACCCCTTATCTCATCTTATCTCTGCAACCTCCTGGTACCCATCAACTGTCATCCCTTATCTTATCTCTGCACCCTCACAGGCACCCATCAAATGTCACCCCTTTTCTCACTGACATCATGCTTCAAGGGAACTTCATCTTCTTCTTCGTTCTTTTTCTTTCTTCTTCCTTCTTCTTCTTCTTCTTCTATACTCACGTGTATCCAAAACATTGCTGAGACCTATAAATACTTTGTATATATTCCTAGACAATAGTAAATGACCAAGGCAGGTTTAAATGTCCACCTGTCAATGTGTTTGTGACAATTTGAGTACAATTTCAGTACCTAATATTAGTGTCAGAACAAACATTGGTTATGAAATGACAAGAACTACTATAAATTGTAATTATCAGAACACAAAAATTATATAAAACAATATAAAAATTAATAAAAAAGGTACATCGGCAACACTTCTGCAAGCAGCAGGAGTCTATGTTGCCGACAGGTGAGCATTAACCCTTTGACTGTTTCAGTCATATCTATACATCTTTCAATCCAATGTGTTTGATATATATATACTCAAAAATTCTAGCGGCTTCAAATCAAGCAGGAGAAAGTTGGTAGGCCCACATGTGAAAGAATGGGTCTGTGGTCAGTGTGCACCATATAAAAAAAAATCCTGCAGCATGCAGTGCATAATGAGAAAAAAAACTGACCGTGTTTTTGGATTAAAACGCCAATTTGTGGTGTATTTTCGTATAGTATTTATGGTTGTAATCTTGTTTTCTTGATCTCATTAGACAGAATGGAAAACATATTATAGAAATAGAGGTGATTTTGATTGGTTTTACTATGAAAAGGACCTTGAAATGGAGCTCAAAGTAGGGGAAATGTTTGATTTTTGCCGATGTTCAAGAGTAAACAAATGATGTCATTGTCCAATAAATGTCAAACTAGAAATTCTAATATGCAGTCATGAATGTGGTGACATTATTTATACAATTATTACCATATTGCGGTAGTCTGCATAACAGTAAATCTTCTATTTTTTGTTTGAATAAAAATTCAAAATAGAAAGCAAGAGTAATATCAGAGGAGCCTGGAGACATGACTGATGAACAAAGAAAATGTTATTTCAGAGCCAGGAATGTCTGCATTGTTCATTCTGGACCCTATTTTGAAATTGTCACATTTTTTAATTTGCGTGAAATTGGCCAAATTGCAAATTTCTGACCACGTTATTGGGTAGTTGAAATCAGTAAATGGGCAGTTTCTTGTAGTCAGTCGATAGAACAAATGGAGTTCTAAAGAAATAGCTATGAGTTTGGTCGACTGGAACAATGGAATTAGCCAAAAATAGGGCTCAAAGTGGGTGAAATCACCAATTCATAAATATTACCGAGATCACTAACTTCGCGAGGGTGTAATTCCGTAAGTTTTCCATCAAATTTCGTTCTTTTGGTGTCATTACCATCGGGGAAAGATTCTCTAACATTTCATTTTTTTTTTTTTTCAAAAATTTTTTGACACCAGGAGACACCTCAGAATTTGCGGCTGGTACCGTCAAAGGGTTAAGTGCCAACTTTGCAGCTTCATATCTCAGCAAGTACTGAACCTATTTTTTTTATTTTAATCCTATAACACTTAAAAATTTTTCTCTATTTCAATAAAAAAACTATTTTTTTTATTTTTCAAAATATATTCGAGGCACTGGGCGAGAGAACGTATATATACATTTGGACCATTTACGAGTTAAACCTATGAATTTTGCAAGGTGATACTGCATTTGGATTCAGGACATGAAAATATGTAAGAATTAACTAATCTCATTTAAGAAGCATACAACTTTTCAAAAATTGTTGACCAATGTAATCAGTCAAAAATAAAGGTGGGTGATCAGAAATGCGAGGAGTCATACACCTACTGCCACCCCTGGATATGCAAACAACCTGCAGTAACACATCAGTCATCTGAGGATGTGTAAGGTTGTCCTCCTGTGTCAATGAGAGCCAACCAGCACATCCCAAGATAATCCAATTTCCATTTCATGACAGCACTGTACCAAAGTCTATTAAAAGTGGGCTGATAACAATACTTTTCCTTCTGCCTCCTGCCTACGACTGCTTCACTTCTCCTGTCTGCAGCATATAAGCCCCTTCTTTGTGCACCTGCCAAATTCTTATCAAGATTGATGGACTGATTATATATATGAGTTTAAAATACTGATCATGAGACAAATGGTACAACATAATCTATTAAGCAATGGGTCAAAAGAAAATAGACTATTAAGTAAAATGTCAACATCATTCAAATTCTTACCCTTCTCAATATTACACTTGGGGTCAGCATCAAGTAATTTCTGACGTAGCTGGTTCTCCTTGACTCGATCTTCATTCCCTTTTAAGTGCCGTCGCTCATCATCAGCGCCCTCTAGGGTGGACGCTGACCGCTTCTTCTCATCCTAGTGTTAACCAAAGAAACTTTAGTGCCACCTAAATACATGATTACTGCCTGGACACAGTGAAGGACCTTGTCACTAGTAACACGGTGCCTCAGTAGGTTTCAACTTCATCTCAAATTAATGAGATAAATAGTGGCTGTCCAAATAATAGACAAATGAATGAGAAATCCTTTGTTTAATCATCTAACTACTTGAATTAATAAAAATATTTAGGGCTACAATTAAGCACTTCAAACTGAAATTAAAGTTTTTAGAATTTTGACTCTGGGGGAAAACAACCTACTGAACTCCATGGAACTTTAGTGATTCTCACTCAGAACTCACTTCTAAGGAAGCCCAGTTACACTGTTGAAAAAAGCACAAAGTTTCCTTTACAAAAAAAAAAATGTGGCAAATAAGTTGAAGCCACTTGTTAAATTAATTAAATTAATTAAGGGTAAAGAATTAGTATCTACATTCTTTGCATAAAGTTGATCAATAAGGGACAACATGGGTCATGTGATCCAATGTAAACAATTTGCTCTGAGAATTATTAGTATTATTATTTTCTTTACTGAAAAAAAGCAAGAGACTCAAAACTACAAATATCATTAACTTCAAGTTTGTTTCTAAAGTGAGACGAAACAAACACAAGGAGGAGAAGCTGAGAGAAGAGAGTGAAGCCATTCACAAGACAAGAGGAGCAAAGCAGGAGCTAAGCCACCCACACACATGCTCAAATATCTCAGAGCAGAACAACACAGCAGTAGTGGGAAGAGAGGAAGATAAGAGGAGAATGAAGGAAGGAAGAGGGGAGGGAGGTGAAGTAAGAATAATGAAAAAGGAGGACAGAATGGAAAGATATGGGAATAATAGGGAAAGGGGGTTTAAAACAGGATGAATGTAGGGTGTATTTAAAGAGTGTAAATAAAAAGATAAAAAAGGGGAGACAGAGAGAAAATGAGATAGAGAAATGCTCTTGGTTTTATTGTAATACTTATAAGTATACTAAATACACTTACCATCCGACTTACGACCTGCTTGACACATGACCACTGAACTTACAACCAGTGTTTCTTCTAAAACTTACAGTATAAAATACTGTCCTAACAGCATAAAAAGCAAAGTTTAAAAATGAAATACCAAAATAAAACAATAAAATAAAATAATTACAAAATGTGATGCTGATATTCAGTAGTAAGGTTTGACTTACGTCCATTTTGACTTACGACCAGTTAGTTGGAACCAAGCTTGGTCGTATGTCGGATGGCAGGTGTACACCATGCAACAATACTACCAGTCCATGAATGCAGACACACAGCTGTGCTGTGTCACAGCCTAACACTACAACAAGCCTCTTATGTGCTAAAGGAAAGAGGTACAATAAAGGCCAGTCAGGTGGAGATGGAGATGCAGGTTAGGGTCAATCAAAAAGATTACTGTGCCAGTGTGATGTGTTAGTACTCTAGCGGGTGCCAGGTACACTGAAAACGCAGCCTACAAGGGTCATAATGACTAACCAACAATGAGCTGATATTATTTTTACAGTTTAACAAAAGATTTCTTCATACAAGTGTACAGTATCATGAGGATAACTCAAACAGACTGATGCACAGTAAATGTCATATTTTTCAAGTCCCTAACACGACACAATGGTGAAAAGATGAGTACAGTGTAGACCCCTGAGAGATCACATACAAGTAAAATGAGAAGGTTATATGGTCTTATAAGGAATACAATAAGGAAAGTTCTATAAATATACGTGGACATAAAAATAAAACACTTCTTAGTACCAGTATAAGGGTACACATTGAATGTTGTAGTGATGAGCAACATGAGGAGAGTGAAGATTAAAAGCTCTGGGCAGTCAGATGAATGAACTAACTTGAATGGTCTGTTAAAAGTAAGTGGGATCTGCTATAAAAGGAAAATTATCAGGTCTTCAAAGCTTACTTCTTATTGTTCAAACAAAAACTGATCACTATTTTCATTTTAAGTTGCCAGGAATAATTCTTAACGTATTAGTCCTAACAAGACACTGAACAAGCGTCCCTTAGCAAATTCTAATCAAATCTTCATCTACTACAAAAGTACATACACATTTGTAATTCACCATCAGATAACTAAGATTATTAATGAATAAAACATCAGCAGCAGCATTTGACAAATTCTTTAGTTTTAAAATTTATTACAAGATAGGGAAAGTTTATGCAATAAAGATCATTGAAGATATTTGACAATCAATTCATTTTAAGTACAAAGTATGAAGATTGAGACACTTATGCAGCATATGGGAATCTTATTCAGGAAACGTTCCGCCACACAGTGGCTTCATCAGTCCAATACAAAGAGGAAGGCGTAAGGAGAGGAGGAGTATGAGGTAATCAGTCCCATATGCTGCATAAGTGTCTCAATCTTCAACTTGTCGTTTTTTCAAATCATTCATCACGACTGTCAGACACTGCAGCATCATGGGATCTTGTTACAAAGAATTCTTCAACACTTGTTCAACCTTTGGACGAAGACCTACTTCGACTAGTGGATGGTACTACTATGACCCCGCCTCCGCCTGCTTCACCTCACCTCACTACAGTATATAAGCCACATCTACGGCCCTATGCTGTACATTCTACAAGATTGATGGACTGAACACATCGACTCCAGGCTGAGGGACTGATTACCTCATGCTCCTCCTCTCCTTACGCCTTCCTCTTTGTATTGGACTGATGAAGCCACTGTGTGGCGAAACGTTTCCTGAATAAGATTCCCATATGCTGCATAAGTGTCTCAATCTTCAACTTGTCGGTTTTTCAAACCATTCATCATGGAAGTACAAAGTATTTTAGTTACAAAAAAAAGTACGAAGATTATTTTTCTGCTGTGGGAGCCTGGAGGTACTACCTGGAAAATGCCACACCTCATTCACAACTATACTCTCCTTTTTAGTGATTCTGATTGTGCTTTCTTCCTCTGTCTCTTGTTCTGTTGCTTATGTTTGAAGTGCATGAACAATATCTTTTGGCCTTACAGGGTGCCATTCCTTTGGTCTACAGTGTCCTGGTGCTGGCCTAGCTCAGGGTTGAATACAGAGATCCACTTATGCACCATTCCAACATGACCTTGAAGCATTCATTACCTTCGCATCCTCCACATCCCCCACATCCTCCAGGTTCCTGTCACTAGGCTATGCTCACCTTGATTCTGTTCAACAGCTGCCTTCTTCAACTTAGGCTCTGGTAGTAAAACTCCAAGTGGAGTCTCTCAGCAAAAAAAATACATTCTGAGCCTAAAAACAAATGAATTTCTTTATTATTGATACTGAAAGCCCTCAGTGTCTGCCATCATCCCCAGCTGTTACATTCTAACTGGAAACTGGATCACTCTGGGAGCCCAGGTGATGTCAATACAAACATAACGACGGAAGGTGAGAGGAACACTATAGTAGGCCTACTCACCCAAACTAATTAAGTACTTCTCAAATTCAACTCTTCTCACTCATATTTATCTAACCATTTTTAAAGCTAACCAAGGTATTAGTTTCAATGACTTCTTGTCAGACTGTTCTACTCATCTAAAGCTCTAAGGCTAAATTAGTATTTTCTGACATCCTGTCTCAATCTGAATTTATCCAACCTAAAACCACTGTTTTGAGTTCTTTCTTTAGATTTCTTCAGCACCCTATTTATACTATACAGTGGAACCCTGGTTTTCGTCTTTAATCCGTTCCAGAAGGTCGGCCGAAAACTGATTTGTACGAAAACTAAAGTAATATATCCTGTAAGAAATAATGTAAATCCAATTAATCCATTCCAGACACCCAAAAATATTAACCAGAAATACATTTTTATAGAGAATAACTATAGTTTAAATACAGAAAACAATGAGAAATAAATATAAAGCACTAATGAAATTGATTAATGAACATTTAAATTACTTTTACCTTAATTGAAGACTCTTGTTGGAATATGGAAGACAGCAAGGAGGGACGAGGGAGGAGAGGTTATCTCTACCACCATCACAACCACTACCATCCTCCACCACCATCAGTACCACCCTCTACCACCATCACTACCACCCTCTACCACCATCACTACCACCTTCTACCACCATCACTACCACCCTCTATGAGTAACAATGGCAGACTGAGTCACAAAAGTATGAACGGCCACATCCCACGGGCAGGAGGATGTGTTTGGTACAGAAATTTCTGAGCAGATATACAAAAAACAGGGAAAATTTTGGCAGAAAAAGTGGTCAAAAACTGAACTGTACAATAACCAGACTGGACAAAAACCGGGGTTCCACTGTATCTCCCTTATTTATACCTGCCTTCTATTTGTATACTCCAATCATATCTCCTTTCATTTTACACCTTTTAAAAGTGTGAGAACTCAAAAATCACAGTCTATCTTCATAGTGTACAGTGACTGAACTTCTAATCCTCCACTGTATCTTCTCCAACACAGGTCATTTCTCCACAAAGAGCACTTGTGTGGACTTTGCTGGGGACTAGATGATAGCATAGATATAAATAATGAATGACATTCCAGGTGGGCCTCCCAGGTCACTAACATAGAAGTTATTATTATTATAATCAAAAAAGAAGCGCTAAGCCACAAGGACTATACAGACTAGCATAGAAGTAAGCTTTTCATAATGAAGAAAATGTAATTTTCAGGCAGAATGCCCTTTGTGAGAGATAGTTATCATTTTATTCTATTAATAATGACTCCAGCAGCTTTAACATCTTCATAAACAATGAAGTATTGGTAAACTGAGAGCAACAATGGTGGTGGTGCTGTAAGGGTGTGTGTTGTGGAGACAACAGCACATCTGTTACACAATATTGGAGTTAACACGTATCAACAGTTTGTTGCATGACAACCACGAAATTATGAGACAAGGACATGTGGGTGAATGACAGGTAAACAAACTTCAAATGACCTGTCTCTCAAGGTTCCGTCTACAACCATCAAGTGAATAAATAAACCAAGAATGCATCAAGGTACCCAAATCATCCGATGGAACAAAACACACTAGTTACCCCCTAAGTGGGCTATATTTTCTATCAACGTGCACTTGAGCTACAGCATCAGCTGCTACTGTCTTCTCTTATCATTAAATAGGTACTTTCTTCTACTTTCAAAATTTACTTTGTGCTACATGACTTCTAATATAGTACAATACTAAAAAGTCTTAATCATATTATGCATATATTATATATATATATATATATATATATATAATATATATAATATATATATATATATATATATATATATATATATATATATATATATATAATGTATATAATGTATGTATGTATGTACATATGCATATATACTGTATACATGAATGTATGTATGAACTGTACAATATA